GTCAGTATGTATAGATTTACTTTATTTAGTAGTTGCAGTGCGTTTCTCTGTTGTTGGCAATTTAGGTTATCCCCAGTGTTTTTGCTATTATAGATTCTGGTGCATGGAACACCCTTGTGCATATATCCTGTGCACTTATGCTAGTATTTCTGGAACAGATTCTCAGAAATGGAATGGTTATTTGGTATGCACATTTCAGTTAGGTCCTGCCAAATTGTGCTCTAAAAAAGTTGTATTTGTCTTAAACTGGCAATTCTTTAATATCTTAAAAGTAAAGGTAATACATTTTAGAATTAGATGATTAAGGGATGGGCTGTTCCTTCAACAACTATCACATGGCCTACTTAGACTAGATAAAGGTACTATATAATCATAGGTAGTATGACATAGATAGTATGATAGATGTAGCTGGCAGTCTATCTGTAGGAAACTCTAGTAAGGATCTTTAATGGCAGGTATTGTTGGGTTCTGAGAGTTTCTGTCTTTGATGAATGCTACTACTTAATGCACAAACAGGAGATGTGGTCATGAAGTTCTCGGGAGATGTAGAAGAGGCTAATTTTTGTCAGAATTTTGTGATACCTAAGTTGTTGGCATTATTTGCTTACAGACCAGATGCTTACAGAATGAAGAGAAATATCTGTGGCATAGCATCAGAAATTGGTTTATCATTTTCTGATCCCTTTTATTAGAAATTAAAAGCAGAAAGAGGGCCAGCCGGGTGGTGCGATGGTTAAAAACTGGCTTGGGACGCCAGAGGGCCCCTGTTCGGATCCCACATATGAGGGCCAGTGATACTGCCCTCCACAGCTAAGAAGCTGAGCAGCGGCTCAACCTGGAGCTGGGCTGCCATGAGTCACCGGCGAAGGCTAGGCTGCAGCCCCTGTGGCAGTGGGTTGCCATGGGCTACCGTGAGCGGCCAGCAGCTGCAGTGAGCGGCTGTCCAGAAGCTGGCGACTGATCTGCCTCGCCCAGGAAGAGCGCAGTGATGGTGCCAACTTGGGCCAGTGAAGCAACATCCTCAACTAGAGTTAAGAACAAAATGACAGCAACTTGTCAGTTCCCCTCCCCCCAGTTCCCCAGCGCTGTTCCCATCCCCCCAATTCCCCAATAAAAATCTAAATAAATAAATAAATAAAATAAAATAAAATAAAAGCAGAAAGAAGTGTCCAAAACCGGACACTCACTGTCTCGGTGATGGATTTTAAAGAAGGGGAGATTAATGCAGGGTACTTTGAGCAGAATCCAACCTGTGTCAAGCTTGACTTTACTTTTCAGGTTGAATTCACAAATAGAGAAATGTGCCCAAAGCCAGGTGCTACAGGAAAGCATATTAACTCAATTTCTAATATAACCATTGTGATTGAACTTACATTTTCTCTGTGTGCGCTCTGTTGGTCACGTAAATTCTAAGGAACACTTTCCATTTTACAGGCAGGTACTTTTCAAGTTAACCTTCTTAGATGTTGTTTTAGGTTTCTTTGTGGAATAGTTTCCTCTTCATTTTCCTAATTTTCTTGTACATTGAATGTGTAAATAAAGCATGTGTATTGCTCAGCAAAAATGAGGTCATTCATTTATTTTAGTGCTCATATTGTTTTGTCCACTAGTTAGACTCTTAAATGAAAGTACGTTTGTAAGAAGAGACAATGTCAAGTAATTTCTCAAAATTCTCATCTACTTATTTATAGAGCAGGAAACTTGTGCTTTCTTGAGAGTATATTTGAAGTAATACTCATCTGTTATGAAGTAATGAAAGAGTCAAGATTTACTGTGATTTTCTAACAACATGGTTTTCAACGTGCTTTTCCTCCTAACTGTAAAATGATTAGTTTTATAAACATATTGCTCTTTGGACAATGCTGACCTAAAGGGGAAGCATTTTAACCATAAATACATAATTTTAGAAATAAAAATATGTAAGTACAAAGTAATTTATTTCCCACTGTTTCTCCTTGTTTATTTTAAATTATTAATAGCTTTACTGGGAACAGTATTCCACACACTGGTGTAAATTAAGTGTTCTCTGACCACATGTATTTGGGAAACACTGTGTGAGATAGATTTCTTTTTAGTTGCATTATTTTTCATAGTTTTTTATTTATTGTGCACTGACACTCAAATATAGGGATATATGTAGTATTTAGTAATTCTGAAACTTAAAATCTGTGCCTACCTATTAACATCTTGCAGATTTTAGAGAAGATGATAATCAGAGATGGTTCGTTTCCAAAGCTGTGACAACATTTAGATTTCTTTTATTGTAAGCAACATATTTCTTAAATAATGAGCCTCAGACTACACTTAGACTTTTTAATATTATATTGCCTTTTAAAAAATGTTAATATTTTTAATACTTCTTAACATTTTTAATATTAACTACAAGTTTTCCAGAATTACAATTTTTGAAAGAATCCTGATTTGTATTTGAGCTAGCAGTGCAGATTATTTGTGAGATGAATTTGCAAGTGCATAGGCTTCCCAGTTTGTTTTGAGTAGTGCAGCTAAAGAAAACCATAATTTTAATTATTTTTTTATTGGGGGAGGGGAACAGCATTGGGGAATTGGGGAAGGGGAACAGCCAAGTTGTTGTCCTTCAGTCTTAGTTGTGGAGGGCGCAGCTAGCTCAGCTCCAAGTCCAGTCATCATCTGGCTGCCCGAGTCCACTCAGCTCAAGGTGCTGTGTTCAGTCTTAGTTGCAGTAGGGTGTAGCCACCATCCCATGCGGGAGTCGAACCAGCAGCCTCATTGTTAAGAGCGTGCGCTCCATACCCTGAGCCACCTGGGCTGCTGCTCAGCTCAAAGTGCTGAGTTCAGTCTTTAGTTGCGGGAGGGCATAGTCCACCGTCCCATGCGGGAGTTGAACAGGCAACCTTGTTGTTAGGAGCAAGTGCTCTCATCAGCTGAGCCATCCTGCCACCTGTTGGCAGCTCAGCGGAAGCTTAGCTCCGGTGCAGTGTCACTGGTCCATGTGGGAATCAAACTGGTGACCCTGTTGCTCAGAGCTCGCACTCTTAAGCCCTTAACCAACTGAGTCACTTGGCTGACCCCATAATTTTAATTATTATCACAAGTGTTTTGCTATCTTAATTTGTTTAGAACATCCTTATTTTTTGCTATCTGAATCTGTTTAGAATATTCTTATTTTTTACAGTATTGGTATATGATAGTAAAGGAGAAAGTGAAATGGAGAAAAAGTAAAACAATTGATATGGATCAGATGTATCAACTTCAGCATATTGTTAAATATTTCATCCTCTTTCATTCCTTGCTATTTATAATCTTTCATCATTGGTACGGAAGTTTTGCTTATTAAAGTATTTTTAAACTACCTTCATATAATTGAAGTGTTAGGATGGTTTAGTCCAAATTAATTTTACGGAAATGTTTGTTTTCATTTCTGTGATAGTGTAGCTACTTTTTTTCTTGCCTGTTGTTCTTAATTTTAATTAAAATGCTTTTTTTTCCTGTAACTTTAAAACTTTAATGTAATTCGCAGAGTTCTGGTAAGAGTAGGAAGCCATATTAATGTACTTATTTGTACTCTATGACTAAAACTTCCAGTGCTATAGAAATTACTCCATTCTCTCTATTTTAATTTATAAACTATCAGTTTGTATCCCCCCCCACACACCTTGTTAAAGAAAGTAAAGAGGATACAAACTGAAGCCAGTAAACAAATCAAATGGTTAAATGTTACGAGAATTCATTAGGCTCAGTTCTTGCTCAAGTGAAGACTTGTAAAATCAAAAGGCACAAAGACTCAATTAAGAGAATTATTGGGGCCGGCCATGTGGCTCAGTTGGTTAAGAGCTTGCTCAAGAGTGTGAGCTCTGAGCAGCAGGGTCACCAGTTGGATTCCCACATGGGCCAGTGAGCTGAGCTGCCAACAGGTGTCAGGATGGCTCAGCTGGTGAGAGCACGTGCTCCTAACAACAAGGTTACCTATTCTAGCTGGTGGGCTACTCCCGCTTGCAGCTCAAGAACTCCACACCTTGAGCTGAGCTGCCGCCCGGATGGCTCAGGGACTAGAGCACGTGCTCTTAACAACAAGGCTGCTGGGTTTGACTCCCGCATGGGATGGTGGCTACGCCCACCCGCAACTAAGATTGAACACAGCACCTTGAGCTGAACAGCACAACAGGACTTGGAGCTGAGCTAGCTGCGCCCTCCACAACTAAGATTGAAGGACAACAACTTGGCTGGCCACCTCCCCCAATTCCCCAACAGTGTTCCCCCCCAATTCCCCAATAAAATCTTAAAAAAAAAAAAAAAAGAATCATTGAATCAAGTAAGTAATACTCAAGAAAATATGCCTTTCATGGGAAGGGCATATCAGAATCTGTGGGATAGCAATCACATGGGTATGGTTTGAAAAAAGCACTTCCGAAAAAAGTAAGAAAGTTTTATTTTTGTAAAATTAAAAACATGATTTTATAATATAACCCATAAGAAGTAAAGTTCAGTAGACACATCTAAGCTGGTGAGGAAACCCCAAAGATACAGTGATTTCTAATGTATTTGCTGAGTGTCTTATATAGTAGGCTTCTTAAAAGGAACCTAGTAGACTTACTTGGGGATTTGATAAGACAATGGGAAGGGTAAGTTTATCGAAATGTGGCACTGGTTTAAAAAATCATAAAGATGAGAAACATTGGTCTAAGTGGTCGCTGACCACCAACTTGACAATACAGTTGCATCTTTTACCAACTGCGTTTACAGCTACACCTTTAAACCATGAGGCATAAGGGATCTGGCAGGGTATATTTTACTCTTGTATTGAAAGTAATTCACTCTCAGCTGTAATCCATTTAGATTCTTTTCTTTACATGAGAGCTCTTTTAAGTTAAGATAGTACAGATATGATAGCCAAAACACTTTGTGAAAGTCTTAGTTATACAGGAAGAAAGTAGATGAGGTATTCAGGAATATTTAGTGTGCCAAAAAACTACATCCTTCGATTATTTTAAACAGTTGCGTTATTTTTGTTTGTTTTACAGTTTTTGAAACAGTATCCTTGAGTTCAGACTCTCTCTTCCAGAGGGCAGTTTCAATTCTCCATACTTCTTATTTGGACTCTGCATCTGAGCATGGTTTTCAGTACAGTCAAGTGACTTTGGTGAAAAATGACATTTTCTTAAATGAGGTGAGGTGGTTGGTGCTCACTATGTTAGTTTTATTTCAGCTTTAAAGAAATAGACCCATCTTTTTGGGTATATAAGCCTAGTTCTTTTAAGGTATCACTTTTCAGATAAAAGATCCTTAGAAGTAGTCACTTGGAAGGTAGTAATAATGTATTCTAGGGAATAGAAAAATGATAAATTTTGTTAGTCTTTTTTAGCAAGAGAAATTCAGATGATGCATTTTAAAAAATTAATTTGCAAGGCAGAAATAACATGTTTATAACATTTGGTTATTCTCTCTCTACACAGTACAAAATTTTTTACCAAGAGAAAAAAGCAAGTAACTATACTCAGGAAGAACTTCAAGAAACTTACGGGTTTCTCCTGTTTGAAACTGAAAATCAGGTAAGGGGATTAGGTTGTATAATATTAATTTTGTGATATTAATGTACAAAACAAATGATATCATTAAACTTAAATATTGGTATTTCAGTTATGTAATAATTGTAAGATAACCAGTTCATCAGTGTTTTTTGTTACTTAGTTTGGTGGCAATGTAAATGAAAGTGAAAGCTAGTTATAAAAGAGATTTGATTTCTACAACTTTTTACAGGTCCTTTTTAGTTTTACCTTAAATGCATTTGTAAACTCATGGTGAGATTGGGATTCTTAAGTATCAGTAATGCCTTTTGATGGAGTGAATGGATATTTATCCATTCTGTATTATTGTTTACATAGATACTGTCCCTTGTTGAGGTTTTTCAAGTTTAAATTACATGGTTTTGGGATAAGATGAACACCTTCAGCATTCTAGTTACTTGGAATTGTTTCACACCTGTCTTTGAAAATTGAACATCCATATTGTTGCTTGTACTTAACTTGTGGGAGAAGGAAACCTTGCAGGGTATATCTCCAAAGATGTGTATGACACCTAGATGCAATTTTAACATGATTCGAAGGTAATGTCTTGGTTTGGTTAATGATTTTTAAAGAACAAGGGTAGGTTTATTTTTAAAATGATTGCTATTAGTATATAACATAAAGTTACTATAATAACACTAGAAGAGTTTATTTCCTTAATCATGTACTTCCAAGTAAGATATGTTATGATTCGTACTACAAAGACATTTGGGGTAAGACATTTTCAAATTTAGTGACTCCAAAGCTATAATTGGAAAATTAACCTTTAAGAGAGGACTTATTTGTGATGTTATTTGTTTTTGCTGTTGACATTTTTATTAACAGAAATGATAAAATTTCATGAAAAACTTTGAACTATTAACCAGAACACAATTGCCTTACATAAGCTTGCTTTATGCTATAAATATATACAGTGTGTGGGTTCTTAATTTATTTGAAAGTTTATAGATTATAGTGATATTTCATTACCTGTCCCAAGACTGATACAATAAGCAAGGTACTATCTTTTGTTTGAAGGCAAGGTTGGTATGTCAGCGTGGACTCTGTATTGGCAGCAGTGCTATTACCACTCTGGGTGACCCAGCAAAAGGTAAGTATGTAAGAAAAAAGAATCTCTTCTTTTACAAGATGAAGTAGGGTTTAGTTTATTTCGTAAGCTACCCATATTAATCACCAGTTTCATTAATGATAAATAATAATCTTTAGAATCAGAACTTTATAAACGAGCTTTGAGTCTAATAGGTGTTACATGATCAGAACTTTTTTTTAAAGGTTGGTTGGACTAGAACAAATACTGAAAGTGCCAGGGCTGGTCTCTTTCATGCCATCATAATGGCAATAGGAATAGAGAGTAGATAGAACCAATCAAACTTGGCAACTATGGAATGTGAGGAGTAAGAGAAAGGAAGTAATCAAAGATAAGGGTTTAAACTTACACTACAGTGATATTACTAATAGAAAAGAGACACAGAAGGAGAGAAGATTGGTAGGAAAGCTGATAAAAGAAGAAGGTAATCTTATGGTAAGAAAATGGGTTAACTGAATTTCTTTAAGCTTTAGTTTTCTCAGCTGTAAAATAGATAAAACTATCTTTTAGATTTGTTGTGAGGATGCAAGAGACTCTGTAAAGTGCTGAGCACAGTGCACCTAGTAAACTCTCAGTAAATGAACACTACCACTTTCATGAGTTAAAGTTGAGAAATAATGGGATTTTTGTGTTTCTGGAAGATATCCTGCTGGTGGTGGAAATAGTTGGAAACGGGATTGGGAATGGAGGTTGGGGGTAAAGGTGGTGGGGGTTGGTATTAGTTGAAGCCAAAGATACTGTTACATGGGACAGTAGAGAAGGAAAAGATGACAAAAAACAGAACTTTTAGATCCTAGAGGGATCATGAGGTGGGGGGATGGGGAAGGGTATAGAAGGAGGAGGAGTCAGAAGCTGCCTGATAGATGAAGAGTCAGGAAGTAGAGTTTTACAGAAAGCAGAGGGATCTAAGGAGGGGTTTAGCTGTGTCACGTGCTACAGAATTTGGAGAGCAAGACTGAGAAAGATTATTGAGCTTCATGGCTAGATTCCTGCTGACTTTTTTTTAACAGCCTTATTGAGATAAAATTCACCTACCAGACAATTCACCCATTTAAAGTACAAAATTCAGTGATTTTTAGTATATTCACAGAGTTGTGCAACCATCATCACAATCAATTTTAGACCATTTTTATCACCCTAAAAAGAAATCCTGTATGTATTAGCACTAACTCCCTTTCCACAGTACCTCCTTCCTAGGCAATTACTAAACTACTTTTGGCCTCTATGTATTTGCCTATTCAAGACAGTACATATAAATGGAGTCATATATGATCTTTGTGACTGTTATCTTTTACTTAATGTTTTTGAGGTTCATCCATGTTGTAGCATGTATCAGTACTTCATTCCCTTTTTGGGTGAATAATATTCCATTGTATGGATATACAATATTTTCTTCATCTATTCAGCAGTTGATGTACATTTGGTTGTTTCCACTTTTTGGCTATTATGAAAAATAGCTGCTATGTACATTTGTGTACAAGTTTTGTACAGATGTGTGTTTTCATTTCTCTTGTGTATATACTTAGGAATGGAATTGCTGGGTAACTATAAAACAAAAATGTTAAAACTTACATTCAGTTCTTCTAAAAGACATAAAAAAGGATAAATTCATAACCCAGTAACATTTTACATAAAACTTTTTTCTTTTGCCTGTTCTTTTTCACAGCCCCCCCCCTTCTATTCATTGTGAAAAATTCTAACAGAAAAAGTAGAAAGCATGGTATAATATATCCATCATCACCTAGGTTTAACAGATAATGTTTTGCATCATTCCCTTCATTTGTTTAATTTTTTTTTAAATGAAGAATTTGAAAGTAAATTACAAGTAAACGTATGAGCTTACATTTCTTAAAATAGAAGTCCGGTTTTTTTTCTACCATCCCATGATTTTATTGTTGATGTTTGAGAGGCTGGCTTCAGTAGCATGGTGGAGTGGAAGCTGTATTGTTCCTAATACACACACACGGGTTGAGAATAAAAGAGCACTACTGCCTGTGTATTTTATAGTTTTGGGCTCAAATAGAAATGGGTAGTTCTGTGTGTAATAGTAACATTTTATATTAATGTAGTGTTTTATAGTTTTAAAAGTTTATTGCTCTTTTTAAATCTTCCTGAGAATCCTGTGGTTTATGTGTCTGTGACTCAAGCTCACCCTCCCCACTTCAGTGACATACTCCTCAGTCACATGGTTGTTATTAGTATGCAGAAAACTTGGAACTGGAATCCAAGCTTCTGATCATCAGTTTATTGCTCTTTCCAGTATATCAAAGTGTTCTCACCATTGCCTTAGATTTCAAAAGAGATACCTCCATTCAGGAATATCCCTGAAATCTGTCCTTTCCTTCTTCTCACTGTTGCTGCCGTGTGGGGATCCTCCTCTCCTGTCTCAGCTCCAACAGTAGCTTTCTAATTGGTCTTGCTTCTAGTCTTTCCCCTCTTTAGACTCAGATTTGATGAATCTCTATTGCCTACAGAGTAAAGTCTAAGCTGATTAGCAAGTCCTACAACGGTCTTGACTGTTGAGTTCCAAGCTTTCTTTTCAGCCTCAACTTTCACCACTTTCTCCCCTGCTTCCAGCACTGGCCTACGATTGTAAATAATGTGTAGTCTTTTATGCTTCCATACTTTGGTTCACTCTATTCTCTACTTAGAATTTTGCTCTTCTCTCTGTCTAAAGAATTCCTTTCCCAGACAAATTTAATTACTTAATTATTTTCATATCTGTGTGCCCTCAGGTATAACATATGTCTGATTAATATTTAAGTACCTACTATATGTTGGGCTATGATGTGGCTGTAGTGGTGAGCAAAACAAATATAACCCGTCTTACTGAAATTTACAGTTTAGCAGAATAAGCTGCTTGAAGACAGGGACCCTGTTTTATTTCCTTGTGTCAAAGCTGCCTAGCACAGACCTGCCATTTAGAAAACCTCAGCACATATTATTAAATAAGAGTACAGTAGACCACCCCCCCACACACACATACACCCCTTATCTCGCATTTTCACTTTGCAGTTTCAGTTACCTGTGGTCAACTGAAGTCCAAAAATACTAAATGGAAAGTTCTAGAAATAAGCAATCCGTAAGTTATAAATTGCATGCCATTCTGAGCAGCATGATGAAATCTTGTCACACCCAGGACGTGAGTTATCCCTTTTTTCAGTGTTATCTGCACTATATAGGCTACCCTCCCATTAGTCACTTTGTAGCCCGCTAAGTTATCAGATCGACTGTCCTGGCATCAACGTGCTTGGGTTCAAATAACCCTTATATGACTTATGGCCCCAATAATGGCCCCAAAGTGCAAGAGCAGAGATGCTGGCAATTCAGATATGCTAAAGAGAAGCTTATGCCAAAAAGTGCTTCCTTTAAGTGAAAAGTTTAAAGTTGTATGCTGATAGGAACAAATCTGTCTGTGAAATTGTGAAGAAGGAAAAAGAAATATGTGCTAGTTTTGCTGTCGTACCTCAAACTGCAAAAGTTAACAGCCACAGTGCCTAATAAGATGGAAAAGGCATTAATTACATTTGTAGGTGGAAAGCATATTGAACAAAAAACATATTCCAATTGATGGCAATATGTTGAGCTAGAAAGCATTGAGCCTATATAAAGACTTCATCAAGGGACCCCCCTGAAATGAGTGACATCAAGCCGTTTACTGCAAGTAAGGGATGGTTACACAGATTCAGGAATAGGTTTGGACTGAAAAGTACAAAAATTACTGGTGAGGCTACACCTGCCTATGAAAAAGCTGCTGTCACATTTCCATCAGAGTTGAAGAAGTTAAGGAAAAAGGATACCATCCAAAGCAAGTCTTCACTTGTGATGAAACTGGGCTCTTCTGGATGAAGATGCCCAAAAACCCACATTTATAAAAATGCAAAGGAGGCACCAGGGCATAAAACATGGAAGGACAGATTAACTCTGGTATTATGTGGTAACACTGCAGGGCATATGATAAAGCTAGGTGTAGCATACAAAGTGAAGAACCCATGCGCTTTCAAAAAACAAACAAAAATTATCTGCCCACGTCCTGGCAACAATCAGAAAGTGTAGGCAACAGCCATCTTGTTTATGGAATGGTTCCACCAGTGCGTCACAAGAAGGGTGAGTACAGTACAGACGTATCTTGAAGATTTTGCGAGTTTGGTTCCAGACCACCACAATGAAGCGAATATCGCAAAGTGAGTCACAAATTTTTTGGTTTCCCAGTGCATATAAAAGTTATGTTTATACTATACTGTCTGTATGTAGTCTATTAAATGTGCAATAGCATTATGTCTCAAAAACAATATACACACTTTAATTAAAAAGTACTTTATTGTTAAAAAATGGTGACTATCACGTGAGCCTTCAGCAAGTCATAACCTTTTTGCTGGTGGAGGGTTTTGCCTTAATGTCGATGGCTGCTGACTGATCAGAGTGGTGGTTGCTGAAGGTTGGGGTGGCTGTGGCAATTACTTAAACTAAGACAACAATGAAGTTTACTGCATTGACTGACTCATAAACAATTTCTCTGTAACATGTGATGCTGTTTGATAGCATTTTACCCCAGTAGACCTTTCAAAATTGAAGTCAGTACTTTTAAACCTTGCAGCTGCTTTATCAACTGAGTTTCATAGTCTAAATCCTTATGTTGTCATTTCAACAGTATTCACAGCATTTTCACAAGGAGTGGATTCCATCTCAAGAAAAACACTTTAGCAACTGCTTATCTGTTAAAGATTTATCATGAGATTGCAGCAATTCAGACATATCTTCAGGCTCCACTTCTAGTTCTTTTACTGTTTCCACCACATCTGCAGTGACTTCCTCCACTGAAGTCTTCCACGAGGGTTGCAATCAACTTCTTCCAAAATCCTGTTAATCTTGAGATTTTGACCTCTTCCCATGAATCACGAATGTTCTTAATGACATCTAGAATGGTGAAACCTTTCCAGAAGGTTTTCAATTCACTTTTCCCAGATCCATCAGAGAAATCACTGTCCATAGCAGCTATAGCTTTATGAAATGTATTTCTTAAATAAGACTTGTAAGTCGAAATTGCTCCTTGAACTATGGGCTGCAGAATGGATGTTATATTTGTGGGCATGAAAACAGCATTCATCTCATCCATATCCATCAGAGCTCTTGGGTAGCCAGGTGCATTGTTAACGAGCAGTAATATATTTTGAAAGGAATCTTCTTTTTCTGAGCAGTAGGTCTCAATAGTGGGCTTAAAATATTCAGTACAAAGTTATGTTGTAAACAGATATGCTGCCATCCAGGCTTTGTTCCATTTACAGCGCACAGGCAGAGTAGACTTAGCATAATCCTTAAGAGCCTGGGATTTTCAGCATGGTCAGTGAGTAGTGGCTTCAACTTGAAGTGACCAGCTGCATTAACCCCTAACAAGAAAGTTAGCCTGTCTTTTGAAGCTTTGAAGCCAGGCATTGACTTTTCCTCTCTAACTATGAAACTCCTAGATGGCTCCTCCTTCCAGTATGTGGTTGTTTTGTCTACGCTGAAAATCGGTTGTTCAGTGTATACCTTCATGAATTATCTTAGCCAGCTCTGGATAACTGGTGGCTGCTTCTCCATCTTTACTTGCTGCTCATCTCGCACTTTTATTTTGTGGAGACAGCTTTTTTCCTTAAACCTCATGAACCAACCTCTTGCAAGCTTCAGACTTTTCTTCTGCAGCCTCCTTACCTTTCTCAGCCTTCCTAGAATTGAAGAGAGTTAGGGCCTTGCTCTGGATTAGGCTTTTGCTTAAGGAAATGTTGTGGCTGGTTTGATATTCTATCCAGGCCACTAAAACTTTATCCATATCAGCAAAAAGGCTGTTCCACTTTCTTGTCTTTCATGTGTTCACTGGAGTAGCGTTTTGAATTTCCTTCAAGAACTTTTCCTTTGCATTCACAACTTGGCTAATTGTTTGGGGCAAGAGACGCAGCTTTTGGCCTATCTCAGCCGTTTACATTCCTTTCACACTAAGCTTAATCATTTCTAGCTTTTGATTTAGTGTGAAAGACATGCAACTCTTCCTTTCACTTGAGAATTTAGAGGCCACTGTAGGGTTATTAATTGGCCTGATTTCAATATTGTGTCTCAAGGAATAGGGAGGCCCAAGGAGAGGGAGAGAGATGGGAATGACTGGTTGGTGGAGAAGTCAGAACACAAACATTTATCGATTAACTTCACTGTCTTATATAGGAGTGGTTCGTGGCACCCCAAAACTATTATAATGGTACATCCAAGATCACTGATCACAGATAAACATAACAAATGTAATAATAATGAAAAAGTTTGAAATATTGTGAAAATTACCGAAATGTGACACACACGAAGTCAGCAAATGCTGTTGGGAAAATGGCGCCGATAGACTTCGTTCAGTGCAGGGTTGCCACAAATCTTCAATTCGTAAAAAACGTGTGAAGCACAATAAAGTGAGGAGCAATAAAACAAAGGTGCCTGTACAATACGATATTTTGAGAGAGGAGAGAGACAACACATATAACTTTTATTACAGTATATTGTTATAATTGTTCTATTTTTAATTATTGTTGTTAATCTCTTATTGTACCAAATTTATAAATTAAACTTTGTTATAGGAAAAAACATAATACATATATAGGGTTCAGCACTATCCATGGTTTCAGGCATCCACTGGGGGTCTTGGAACAGATCCCCTATGGATAAGGGAGGGAGGGGCTACTGTACTTACTGAAATTTTCTTTGCAAAAAATAACTTGAGAATCAGATTCCCATAGATCTTTTCACTGAATGATTGAATGGAGAAAAAAACAAACTTAGAATTTTCCAAGAATGTGATACACTTATCCCTTTCCAATTCTTGTACCCAATTAGAAAATTGATTAATAGATATGTTCTGTTTACTTAGCTCTAATGTTTTCATACCTTTAGAATAACTCAAATAATTTTTAAAAAGTAAGAATTTCAAAACAGTTTTTAATGTTGACTTTTATTTATCATGTGTGTTGCCCTACATGGGAATTGTATATATGTAAACAATCTTTTAAGTGTCAATTAATCTATATTTTATACTTTTGTAGGTGTGTACATTTCCAGATACTCAGACTATCTTCATACAAGACCATGGTATCATGGGAAGTCTGGTTATATTGTAATTTTTAATCTAATTAAGGTAATGCCCAAATGTACTTCTATGTAATTTTTTTTAAACTTAAAAGTTATCAGTCTGTGACAATGTTCTTTGCAGATCATTTACTAAACATAGTCCTCACCAAAGTCAGCCATCCAGATTCAGAAAAAGTAACTGCTGTTTTTGCTTTCCTTCAAAGCAAAACTTTTTGTCTTTTTAATAGATAATCTGTGAATATGTTAAACAAAAAACTTCAAAAGAATACAAAAGGTATTCAATGAAAAGTACTCCTTTCACAAACCCTGTCCTGTAATGCCACTTTTTAGATATTAAATAACAAAACAAGTAGCTGCCTGTAAAACAATGATTACAGTTCATAAGAGATGAATTTAGAAAACAACATTCATTGTCTGGTTTAAATTGTTGAAATAAAAAATCTTTATTTTCTTTATCCCTAAAACATCCAGACCTTGTTCACAGCTTCCTGTGGCACCTGTGATTGATGATCTCAGAAATTCTTAAACGTTCTTAAATAGTCCAATATAAGTAAATCATTTAATTAGAACTTTCACTCAAATAGTAGGGAAGCTCTGATTTTAGAGATTGGTGGGCTTTTTGAGGACATATTCTGTGGTTTCATTTTGTTGTTTTTGCTTTTGTTTTAGCTTTCTTACTACTATCTTAAGTTCTTTGGTTATAAATCTAGCAGTACTGATAAAAATGCGAACTCTTTTTTTTTTTTTTTTAAGATTTTTGGGGAATTGGGGGAAGGGGAACAGACAAGTTGCTGTCGTTTTGTTCTTCAGTCTAGTTGTGGAGGACGTTGCTTCACTGGCCCAAGTTGGCACCATCATTGCGCTCTTCCCGGGCGAGGCAGATCAGTCGCCGGCTTCTGGACGGCCGCTCACTGCGGCTGCTGGCTGCTCACGGTAGCCCATGACAACCCACTGCCACAGGGACTGCAGCCTACGCTGTCGCCGGCGACTCACAGCAGCCCAGCTCCAGGTTGAGCTGTTGTTCAGCATCTTAGCTGTAGAGGGCAGTGTCACTGGCCCTCATATGTGGGATCCGAACCAGGGCCTTCTGTCGTCCCAAGCCAGCTCTTAACCATCGCGCCACTCGGCCGGCCCAAGAATGCGGACTCTTTATATTCCACATTTGTCCTTAAGAACTAGAGGGAAGTAGCATTGCACTGGCACCATCACTGCCTTTCCTCCCGTAGTCTTCCCTCTCCCTGCTCCGGGATAAGTACTGTAGGTGTGCTGTAGGAAATGCACCTGACAGCTCAGATAACAAGCCTTTGGCTTTTATTTATGTCAGGTTCCTCGCCCTTGGTTTCTTGCCCCTGTATCCCACCCTGTCTGGTGAATATTGCCGTTTCACATGTTGCCTGTATGCTCTCAGTTCTCCTGACTTTACTGCTCAAAGCCAGCCATACCCACCAGCATAAGATGCTTGATGGGGAGAAAATAGAGGTTGTGTTTGCTCACTTCGAGGTACTGTTTATATTCTTTGGCTTCTTAGACCAAAGAATTGCCTTTGCTGGCCCTATAAATGAAGAGGCAGGAACTTAACAGCAAAAAAAAAAACAACAAAAGAAAAAACCTTTTTAAATAAAAGTAATTAAATTCTTCTTGTTAAAATACAAATAAAAGTTGCCTATAATCTCACTCCTCATTTTGGTATATATTTTATATATTTCTATTTTTCCCACATATGTCATTATATTATTCAAAATAACTTTTAAAATCATTGTGTGATATCTTATTATAAACTTGACTGCATTTTTTTCCTTTTTCTGGAAGACATTTAGTAACCCTTGATGAAGAGAACTCTGTAATGAGAAATATTATTGTTCAATAATCAGGGCCAGTGGTCTGCTAATCACTTTACTGCATATTTGCTCCTTGCTGATTTACTGGGTCCTGGCATGATAGATACATCTTGGTCTATAATTTACAACTGATAATAATTCAGTTTGGAAACTCATCTTTTGAAATTTTAAATTTCATTTGTCATCTTTTATGTTATAGTCATTGAATAGCCGATCTGTTTGGTGAGCTATATAATTTTTATTTTAAAGAAATGGATCTCTTATATTTGGAGTGATTTCATGTACTCCATTGATATTGTGGTAAAAGGAATGGACATTTGCCTCAGGAAAATGCCCAAACATACCAGATTTTAAAATACAGATTAAATAAGAGACTCATGGATAATTAAAACTATTATTGGCCTTAAAGATAATTTTTTAAGAACCATAGTTCTAATTCTTAATACAGTTGTTAGTTGAAACATATCCACGTCCTTATGAGGCAACTTGTAAATGAGTCCTAGAGTAAGATTATTGTTATTTAATGACACCTGATTAGTCTTAATGTTTTCATTCCAGGGAAAAATCAAGTTTGTGTCTGAGAATTACACAACTAACTATACTAGCCCATCTTCTGGCTATGACTGCCACGTGGCTGCAAATACTAACAAGGTTTCTCACAAGACAAGTCATTTTCGCGCCTTTGAACTGAGTCAGGTATAGTCACCTGGAAATAAATCATTTCCAAGATAACATTTCTGCATCTAATGTGTTAAGTTTCAGGACTGGGTTGGTTGAGATTAACTTGGTGCATATGGAATTCTATAGTGCTATTCTGATTATGCTTCTTTTTCTTCTTTCAGTATTACCTCTATGAACTTTCAGGCAGCACTGTTATTGAGCGACCTAGACAGATCCATCCTTATGTAATTGTAGCTTTTCAGTACAGGGAACCTAAAAAGATGGCAGCACCAGCTCAAAAAAGCATGTAAGTAATTATGTACATACCTTGTTTTACTGGATTTGTTTCCTTTACTCTTATAAAAATGCTTCTTTTTTTCCTCCTAGACTTGAACTCAGTGAAAATGGTAAGAAATTATTTGATTGGTTCTTTTAGGTTTTTTTTTAAGTAAATGTTTTGTTCATAACTAAAATAATCAGTTTCTTTCTTATCTTCATTTCTTAAAGTTCTCATCTCCCCGTGGAAAGGGAAATTAATTATTCAAGGCTGTCTGCTGTGTGATATAATTCTTCGGTCCTCTTATGGTACAGTAGTTCCAAAACAACTGTAAGTATTGAATTTGTGTCCTTTAATAATGCTTGTCAAATTTCACTTTGAGTTCTTGCTTGGTGGCACTAGTGTGAAATGTAGCAATTTTACTTGGTTTTAGATTAGAGTACTTTTGGACAGATGTATGGGGCATAGGACCATGACACAGGAGACGTAAATTTATGTCCAAATTCTGACCTTGACTTTGAAATAAGTTAGTTTAATAATCTTTGACAACTCACTTTTTAAATTTCAGTATCTTAAGCTATTCATGGGAGAATCACCTCTCAAACTAAATTAAATTGATTTGATGCTAGAAGTTTGATTTTTCCCAAGAAACAAATTGGATTTGCCTAGATAGCAGATTATGGCCACTTAATTATATTGTTGAGTCTTTATTAAGATTTGCATTATTTGATTTTCTAATTTTCACATGAAAAGGAGACTAATATTAAATAGAGTATTTACTAATGCATTTACATTATAATGAATTACAATACTTTCTTCTGTGTGAAGGGCATCTTATGAAATCTTTCTGTTTAGTTTGCACCCCAACCTATTGAAAAATAGACATAGTTTAACTGAAATATAAGTGAAAACTGTTGTGCTATCAGAATTCATTTTCTTTCTATTGGCGTTTTTTTAGGAAGAGGGAGGGATATTATAACCCATAAAATAAAGTAAGAATTCTGTGAATACATAAATGAAAGAGAAAGTTCTTCCTCACTATAGAGGGCAACTAATAGGTGTAGACAGAATGATGAAATTAGAAAATAACCACTGACAACACCACAATAGTCAGTGGATGCTTAAAATAATAGGTGAAAATTTGGTGATATTTATATATCTCACTGTATTTGCCCAGAACTTACCTTCTAATCACAAAGGGAAAAAAATACAGGCTTTACAATGGGAAAAATAACTGCAGATACCATCTTAACTAAGCAGTTAATGTCATCAGGAGTGGAGTAAACATCTCTGCATCATATCAGGAAGCATGTGAATAACATATCATTTCTGTGGTGTTCCTGCCACTCTAATCAGGAGGAAACAGACATACCCAGATTAAGGGGCATTCTGCAAAATAAATGGTCTATATTAAAAAATATCAAGGCCATTAAAGATAAAGACTAAGAGACGGTTCTGGATTGAAGGAGACTAAACAGACGTAACTAAATGTAGTGTGTCATCCTGGATAGGATCCTGGACTGCAAAAAAAATGTTCTTTTGTTATAAAGGACCTTAGTGAGACAGTTGGCAAAATTTGAATAAGGTCTGTAGCTTAAATAGTTGTACTACACACCATAGTTAATTTCTTGATTTTGCTACATAATTGTTTGTGGTTGTTTAAGGAAGTGTCCTTTTTTAAGGACACACACAGAGAAGTTTTAGGGGAAAGAGGGTATCTGTAAGTCTACAGGTATTTCAAAATGAGTTTTAAAGAAGGAAAAAGTACTCAGGTGAAATGGTGCAAAAGTCTGGATGTTCTTCGTTTTGTGGCATTGTATGGTAGGCAGTGCAATATTGTCAAAAGTTTGCAACTTTTACATAGCATAATTTTTAGTAGATTCTCATTACAGTATGCATGGTTATTTCACAAATCTGGACATTTTGGTCATACCCAAAATACCTACGTTCACATGTGACACCACAGATTATGGGGTCATATATTTGAAAATCTGTATACATATATACATATTATTTGACCTGGAGTTTATCAATTTAAGGACTTTTTTGTGGTTATAATATTTCTGTTTGAATTTATATTAGAAAACCAAATATTATAAAGCTGCAGATAGTTTCAGTGTTTGTTATATCACATGATGTTGTTGTTTTTTAGACCACATGAACTAGATTTTAAGTATGTAATGAAAGTGTCATCTTTGAAAAAAAGCCTACCAGAAGCTGCCTTTAGAAAACAGAATTACTTGGAGCAAAAAGGTCTGTTCAAATATAGTGATACACTATATGTCCTGAGCTTTGTTCCAGTTATTTTCCCCTCTTACACTCTTCCTCTCCCCTCTCCCTTCTCCTTTCTTCCTTCCCCTCCCTTTTGCCTTAAGTGATTCTTAAAAGGGTCTTCGGTGAAAGTTGTAGAGTTGCTAGTTCCTTGGAAGCCAGCTAGAAACTGGGAAAGGTAATTTCATCTTAGATGGCAAAGACTAGCTTTAATATAGAATACTAAGGGATTTAAGCAAACAGATACGCTTACAAATAGTTGACTCATAAGCACTCCTTTTGAGGAGAACAGAATTTTTGTGGTTTTTATTTATTTATGTACTATTTTTTAAATTATTATTATTATTAAATTTTCTGCAGTTGCATTGGTTAAGAAGATTATATAGGTTTCAAATATACATTCTATAATACATCTATATGTTGCCTTGTGTGCTCATCACCCAAAGTTTAGTTATGTACTTCTAAATGAAGGGGGAAAAAGCAGAAAGCGTGAGAAAGGAAACTTCTTGGTCATTGAGATTAATTCATGGAACATTAGTGTTTATATTATTTATGTAGTATTTATTTGTCCTGTTAATCCTATAGTAGTGTCAGTATAAATGAAAGCATTGTTTTCAAATACTTTATACAGCAACTTTTTTAAAGGTGTTTTATAACCAGGAACATTGAATAATTTTTTGAATCATATTCCTAGTTCTTTCATTTTTTTAGCATACAAAATGAATAAATAGGTTATAAAAAAGCATAATAGCATTTTAAAATAAAAAATGTTCTGCTTTTCCGTTTTTCACTCTAGTCTGTTGTCAAGATATGTGCTTCAGTATGTATGAAGTGGAACTGTCAAACAAACAAGGGGAAAAAATAGTTAAACTAACAGAATTCATTAAAAACAAGCAATTGGTAAGAATTATCCATTTAAAATATAATTATTCTTTTTTCTTGAGAATTTGATATCTAATTACTAGTTGCTGTGCCTAGATTGAATTGTTTCCGCTTGCTGAAAGGATTTTCATCATTTAATATTTATTGACATATTATTGATACAATATTTATTGACTAACATTTTCATCCCCTTTGTATCTTAGTTTACTTTTGTGTTTCACTAGTCAGTTTATACCCCTCATTTTAAGAATAAGGGGACCATTTTTCTCAAGTCATTTTTTCTAGTTTTATGACAAAAGAATTGAGTAAATCTCTAGTGTTTTTGCAGTAATCAAAGGACCACTTGTAAGATATTTCTTTAAAGGTGACCTGCATCAATCCATAGGTTTATAAGGAAAAAGAAATTGCTGGTTCTACTGCTTCCATAGTGTAGAAAGTAAAGCTCTCCTGAGAAATAGGTAACAATCCAACGATGTCTCTTCGTTATATTAACCAGGGTTCCTCAGTGTGAGGGTAGGAATTGATGCTGACTTTATAGTGACTGATTCCTAAACACCGCAAAGGAGATGGCATGAGTGTGGGACAGTGACCATACAAGTGTGAGCTCTTTAGTGACATGATGGACTGTCCCCCTGGTGGATAGTAAGAAATCAATAAATTAAAATAGAACGTGTATAAGCTGTGAGTAAGCTGTTTTAGGGATAGTTTCAGTTAACATACTTTAAGTTGCATGTAACAGAAACCCAAACTGGATTGAACAATAAAGGGGTTTAATAGGCTTACTTTTCAGTCTAGGTGATAAGGCAAGTTCAGATACTGTTTGCTCAAGATTCTTTCTGTTTCAGCTTCACCCTCTGTGTGATAGTTTTGTCCTGAGACTACTAGTCAGGGTTACATGCTTCCTGTTTTCATCCAGAGAGAGAAAACCCCTCCTCCAAATCATCACTTTCATTAGACCAGTTTATGTCATCTGCACATCCATCAGCCAGTAACTGCAAAAGGAATGGACTGCACTAATTAGGTCAGGCCATTCAGAGCCCACCTTCCAGAATTGGGTATGAGGTCAGTGCCACCCAGTCCGCAGTGGTTCTCCAAGTAAGGAGGTGGTATGGTGGCATTGGATGCTTAGTGAATAACTATTGAATATCTACTGTAGGACTGTACGCTGTTTTTTTGAAGCAGCATAGTCCATTTTATATTTGGAAATTAAAAAGGAAGAAAGTCCAAAGATATTTTCAGAAAATGCATTAGTGAAGGGACTATTTGTGAGTGCTTTTTAGTACTGGAAATAGCAGAGACTTGGTGCAGAACTTGGCTTTGAAACCTGTTCATTAATAATAATGGGTTGTCGGAAAAGTCATGATGCATTTTTGCAACGAAAACCAGAAAAAATACGTCATGACTTTTCCGACAACCCAGTAAGTATCACAGAAGGTCCTTTCTCTTCAGTGCTCCATGCTTCTTTTCTTGGTTTATTATATTATGGATAATTTGTACATATCAGTCTCTCTGGCTAAACACCAAGTTCCTTGAGGGCAGGTATCATGTCTTAAGCATCTTTTGACACCTGAGTGCCTGGTAGGTAGTGGACAAGCAGTAAATGCCCTTGAATAAAGTGTATGTAGGCTTGTACCTAAAACACTAAAATTCAAAAACAGTACAGATCAAGGTCTCTTTTTAAAAGGGTGTTGAGGACATGAATGGCTAGATACTATCTATGTATAAATATCTAGAGCAGCGGTTCTCAACCTTTCACAGGGGTTGCCTAAGACCATTGGAAAACACATATTTTCGATGGTCTTAGGAACCGAGACACCGCTCCTCTATCCGTCTCCAGGCCCACATGCAGATACACCCATATACGAGTACCCGGCAACCCCTGTGAAAGGGTCTTTCGACCCCCAAAGGGGTCGCGACCCACAGGTTGAGAACCGCTGATCTAGAGGTAGATGTTTTAAAGATTCAATGATTTCTGCCCACTAATGTTAGAACAGGGGAACTTTATGTAGCCCTTTCATTACATAATTTGAAAGACTTATTAGTTTATACTACACATTTCTATTTTATTGGCACAGTTTTTTGGGAGATAGAAATGGATCGTTTTATGGTACAAAATTAAAATGCAGAACAATGTAAAGACTAATATTGTCACTTTCACTTTTTACATCAATAGAAAATGAAACAATTATAAATGTTTGCAGTTTCATAGATACCAAGGCATATGTAACTGTTGGTGTGTTATTCAGTAATTCTTTCTTCAGTGCTTACCATGTGCCTGAAACAAAACTAGGAAATAGTCCCTGCCATCAAGGAACTTGTAAGACTGGACACAAATGTAAACTCTCAGTGCCACAGGGGTGATAATAGATGCATGTGGACACTCATGGTAGTGTTGTGCCTGTGAGTGAAATGTCAGTGTCCTAACTTAGTTCTCATATAATAATTAGAAAAGAAGTCCTTTTTTTTTAAATGAGTCGAACCGGCAACCTTGCTCTTAAGAGCGCATGCTCTATCCACTGAGCCATCCGAGCGGCAGCTCAACTCAAGGCGCCGAGTTCAGTCTTTAGTTGCCGGCGGGCATAGCCCACCATCTTGAACAGGCCACTTTGTTGTTAGGAGCCACGTGCTCTCACCAGCTGAACCATCCTGCCACCTGTTGGCAGCTCAGTGGCAGCTCAGCTCGGGTGAAGCTCACTGGCCCATGTGGCAATCAAACCAGCGACTCTGTTGCTCAGAGCTCGTGCTCTTAAGCAAACTCTAAGAAGTCTTTTTTTATACTTGAATTATTAATTTATCAATTTACCACACTTTTAGGCTAATGACCTATCAGTGTTTGAAATAGAATGTTTTATCACTTTATAAAATGGTATATTTAGTTTTTTTACCTGAAAAATTATTGTATGAACCTTGGGTTTTATCTTTGTTATTAGTATATAAACTTTAGAAATCATGAATCATGGAAAAGAGGATCTGTTATCTTTATGATATAGAATAGTAGCTTTTAGATAACTTGCCCTGACCTGGGGACAGAATTCCTCTATTTACTGTAAATATTAGAATTTCAAGATTTTTATTTCTTGATTTCAAGATTCCACTGAAGACTGTGGTGGAGAAAAAAAGAAAATAATTTATTTTCATCTGCATTTCTTACTGTCATAGGACCTAATTATGTTATTTTCTGTTTTCTATCTGTTAGGGTGCTGTTAGAAAGGATTCTTTTATTGTATACAATCTTCCAGTCTTTCTAGTTCCAGTATTCTGTGATGTGTTGTGTGTAAACATGAGCTAATCATAGGTCTAATTCACCTGAATTTGTAGTGGCTACATGGTAGCAGATTGGCTACTTAGGTATCAATATGAAATATCAAGCATCTCAATGAAAAAAATGGAAAAAGTCTTTTCTGATGGATTATGTAGTTGAACACTATCCTAAAACTAACCCTAATGTTCTAGTTATTATATGTAGCCCTAACAGGGCCAAGATTATTTGAGGGCTAAATAAGGAGCTTGCAGTTTTTGACACTGGAGGCAAAACTTTCCTGATTCCCATAAACACTAACATTTCAAGATATTTATTTATTTATTTATTTATTTATTTATTTATTTATTTTACTTTTCATGAGCTCAAAATTCACTGAATAGTAGTGTGATCAAGGGAGGAGAGAGGAACTCAATCTTTTTGTTTGTTTGTTTTAATGTTTAAGGCACTCATCAACTGTTTAGAAGATCGGGACGTTTTCATTTTACTTACATCATCAGCCTTAATATCAGAAACAAGTAAGGACAGTCTTTTTGAAAAACTATTTTTTAGTATGTTTACTTTTGTTTTGCAAGACCAACAACCTAACTTTTCTTCTGATTCTCATTCCGTGTAGATTTTGGATATGAGCAAACAGGTCTACATGGGTTACATTTATCCCATTCATCCCTGTCAACAGGTAAGGGCACAGTGACCTCCAGTTCACTAAATCTGTCACATATTTTTCCATCCTCATCTTACTTAACTTGTCAACCCTAGTAACTCTCTTCTTCTTTTAAATGACTCTTCCTTAACCTCCCTGGTTGATCCTTTGTCCCTTTGCAAGCTTATCCTTTCCTCTGAGCTTCACACCCGGATATCCACCTATCTATTGACTGGTTTTTTTTTTGTTGTTTTCTTAAGATTTTGGGGAATTAAGGGAGGGGAACAGCATTGGGGAATCGGGGAAAGGGAACAGATAAGTTGCTGTCCTTTTGTTCTTCAGTCTGGTTGTGGAGGACGTCGCTTCACTGGCCCATTATTGGTATTATGATCATTGCGCTCTTCCCGGCCGAGGCAGTCGGTTGCCGGCCACTGGATGGCCGCTCACCGCGGCTCACGGGCAGCTCATGGCAGCCCCCTGCAGCAGGGGCTGCAGCCTACGCAATTGCTGGCCATTCACAGCAGCCCAGCTCTAGGTTGAGTTGTTGTTCACAATCTTAGCTGTAGAGGGCGCAGCGTCACTGGCCCTCATGTGGGAACTGAACCGGTGGCCCTTATGCTCAGAGCCTGCACTTCCAAGGCAGTTCTTAACCAACTGAGCCACTCGACTGGCCCTCTATTGACTTTTTTACTTAAGATATCTCAGATGTTCCTGAAATTCAACACGTTCAGAACTGAATTTAGTTGTTATTGAACAATAGGTAGGAGTATAATACTGTAATAACTATGTACGGTGACAGTTAGTGAACTTATTATGGTGATCTCTTTTTAAGATATATAAATGTTGAGTCGTGTTGTACACCTGAAACTAATACAATATTATATGTCAACTATAATTAAAAATAAATTTAAAAAATAAGTAAAAATTCACCTCAAAAAAACCCCACAATAGTGAGGAGATACTATTATCGTAGTCTAATAAATTAATAGGACTCAAGACCTTCACAGATGTAGTGCTCTGTCTGGACTACTTGTCTCATTCCCCTTTATTGAATGGTGTTTACCCCCAAAGGACCAAGAGTTGGCTCTTGGGGCAAAAAAATACTACTTGTACAGTAGATAAATACATAATACAGTATATCTGTGGTATTAAAATTTTAGAGGGCAGTTAGGAAACAAAGTCTTGGGGTGGGGGGACTAATGACTAAAGTTAGAGAAGCACTGACCTAGTCTCTAGTCATTCATATCTGTCAGGTGTCAGTTTTAATATCACTTTATTGATTCCCATCACCTCTCTGACCTCAGTGAGGACCCCTAAGCTTATCATCAATAGAATTTAAGTATTTATTTGCATATTATTTAATGCCTGCCTTTTCTTGTATTCTGTTTCTCTACTGCCTCGAAATGCCAGGAACATAAAAAATAATAAATGTTTGCTGAATAAATGAGTCATTTCTTTTTGTCATTTGAGGAAATTTTCCTCATTGTTTTATAATCATACTCTGTGTTTAATGTGTATAGCATTTATAAAGCTACAACCAATACAAAAATGTTTTTAAAGTTGATTTCTTAAAATTGTATTTAGTTATTCAAAGCAGAGAACTGCACTTTCTTGGGCATCACTTCTTTGGACTAAGCAAAACATTACCAATTATAAAAACATAATGTTTTATTTTTTAAACTGTATTTTTCAAGCATTTACTATGTCAGATATTGTGTTAGGTATACACTAATGATTTAGCAGTCCTTAAAAATGGGTACTCTTATGACCATTTTTAAGATGAGAAAACTGAAACTTAAATTTGTCTAAGGTCAAACTGACTCTCAAGCTGGCTTCCAACTTCTATCCCATACTGCCTCCCTCTTCTGTAGGCAGTCTGACTTGATAAGCATTTTTAAATGTAAACTACCACTGGAAATAAAACATTAGTGCCTGTACCATTCATATTGAACAGCACAGAATTTCTAAACTTTGGAGTGTTGTGTTACAGTGTTCATATCCCCTCTGAGTCCTAAGACATTTCCTATTTGTGGTCATTCAGAGGTTCAGAGCCATGGTTATTTGTTTTAAATTGAGTGATACTATGCTTAGCAAACTTAAAAAGTCCTTTTTCATAGATTTTATAATAGTCTATTACAAATCATTCTTGGTTCTGCCTTTCTAAATTCTTGAAATAATTAAGTTGTGTGGAAAAATATTACTTCAGTGTGAACTGTTAATAGTACATAAGAACCTTTTATATTTTTTCCCTTCACTTGTTACTTTTAAGTGATAAACTACAAAGAAAGGAATTTTTAATATTTAGCCACGTTTCTATTTATTTATATTTGTCATTCTGTTCCTTTTCCTAGTACCTGCTCGGGTGCAAATGTATTTAGCTAGCCCTAACTTAGTGTTTTCTTAATTTTGCAATTACTTTTTCTTTTAAAAGAATGGTGTAATTCATACTTCAGTTTACTAGGCACCTGAGGTCTTTGTTATCTGTGGCTTTTTATTACTGATAAAACTTAAATTTTCTAGAATTGTATTACCCACTTCTCACTTTTTCTGTTTACTTCTGACTTTTTCTGTTTACTCCCCTCTTACTGTTTTCTCCCCTCTTACTGTTTTCCTTTAGGTTACTGATTTACTGAAAAATTAACATTCTAGTCAAAGAGTGAGATAGGGAGAGGAAATGAAACACAGACTCGTCAGTTTAGTTGTTTTTTATTTTTCAATTACATTTGACATACAATATTGTACTAGTTTCAGGTGTACAACTTACGAGGTGATCACTCTGTTAAAGCTCGTACCCATTTGACACTATACATAGTTATTACAATATTATTGACTATATTCCTTGTGCTATACATTACATCCCCATGACTATTTGTTAACTGTCATTGTACTTCTTAATCCCTTTCCCTTTTTCACCCATCTCCCCAACCCTCCTCCCATCATGCAACCTTCAAAATGTTCTCTATATCTGTGAGTTTGTTTCTGTTTTGTTCATTTATTTTGTTCCTATATTCCACATATTAGTGAAATCATATGGCAGTTGTCTTTCTCTTCCTGATGTACACCACTCAGCATAATATCCTCTAGGTCCATCCATGCTGTTGCAGATGGCAAGCTTTCATTCCTTTTTATATCTGAGTAATATTCCATTGCATGCATACATGCATATATATCTATATATCTGTATCTATATCTATATATATCTATATATATCTATATATATATGCACATACACACACACACACACACACACACACACACACAATATAACTTCAGTTTGTGAGTATAATTTGTTCCAGAAACAAGCTACTTGTATTGCAAGACATCGCTCGTTTACCAAGTTAAAATGTATTATAAGGTTAGTGCAAAAGCAATTGTGGTTTTTGCCACTAGGAGTAATGGCAAAAACCGCACTTTCTTTTGCACCAACCTAATAGAAATGGTTGATCGTCTTGCGGAACACTCGCAAACCAAGTTACTCGCAATCCAAGGTTTTACTCTGTGTGTGTGTGTGTGTGTGTGTGTGTGTGTGTGTGTATATCACCTCTTTATCCATTCATCCATTGATGGACATCCAGGTTGCCTCCACATCTTGGATATTGTAAACAATGCTGCAATGAACGTATGGATACACATGTCCCTTTGAAGTAGTGTTTTGGTTTTCTTTGGATAAATACCCAGAAGTAGGATTATTGGGTCCTTCTTGGTCAGTTGTTATAGCCTTTTTTTGTTTGCTTGTTTTTGTTTTGTTTTTTTTTAAAGATTTTTATTAGGGAATTGGGGGATGGGAACAGCACTGGGGAATTGGGGGAAGGGGAACAGACAAGTTGCTGTTCTTTTGTTCAGTCTAGTTGTGGAAGACGTTGCTTCACTGGCCCAAGTTGGCACCATCATTGAGCTCTTCCCGGGGAAGGCAGATTGGTCGCCGACTTCTGGATGGCTGCTCACGGCGGCTGCTGGCTGCTCATTCTGGCTGTTGGCTACACATGGTAGCCCATGGCAACCCACTGCAGCAGGGGCTGCAGCCTACGTCATCGCTGGCAACTCAGGACAGCCCAGCTCCAGGTTGAGCCGTTGTTCAGCATTTTAGCTGTAGAGGGCAGTGTAACTGGTCCTCATATGTGGGATCTGAACCGGGGCCCTCTAGCGTCCCAAGCCAGCTCTTAACCAACGCGCCACTCGGCTGGCCCTAGCCTTTGTTTTAAAGTCTATTTTATCTGGTATAAGTATTGCTACTCCAGCTTTTTTTTTAGTTTCCATTTTCATGAAATATTTTTTCCCATCCCTTTAAATCTCTGTGTGTGTCTTTTGATCTGAAGTGAGTTTCATGTCGGCAGCATATGTAAGGGTCTTGTTTTCTTATCCATTCAGCCACCCTGTGTCTTTTCCTTTTTTTTTAAGATTTTATTGGGGAATTGGGGAAAGGGAACAGCCAAGTTGTTGTCCTTCAATCTTAGTTGTAGAGGGTGCAGCTAGCTCAGCTCCAAGTCCATTTGCCATCCGCTGCTCAGCTCAAGGTGCTGTGTTCAATCTTAGTTGCAGGGGGCACAGCTCACCATCCCACCAGGGAGTCAAACCAGCAACCTTGTTGTTAGGAGCACATGCTCTCACCAGCTGAGCCATCCTGCCACCTGTTGTCAGCTCAGCTCAGGCGCAGCTCATTGGCCCATGTAGGAATCAAACTGGCGACCCTGTTGCTCAGAGCTCATGCTCTTAACCAACTGTGCCACTTGGCCGGCCACACCCTGTGTCTTTTGATTGGAGCAGTTAATCTATTTACATTTAAAGTGTTGATAGATATGTAGTTATTGTCATTTTTTATTCATATTTTTTCTTTTTTTTTTTTTCTTCTTCTTAAAGAAGTCCCTTTAACATTTCTTGTAATATGGTTTGGTTAATGAACTCTTAGCATTTTCTTGTCTGGGGAGCTCTTTACCTGTCCTTTCATTCTAAATAATAGCCCTGCTTGGTAGAGTAATCTTGGTTGTAGGTCCTTGCTTTTTATTACTTTGACTATTTTGTGCCAATCCCTCTGGCCTGCAAAGTTGAGAAATTAGCTGACAGTCTTATGGGAGCTCCCTTGTAGGTAACTAACAGTTTTTCTCTTGCTGCTTTTAAGATTCTCTGTCTTTAACGTTTGGCATTTTAATTATGATGTGTCTTGCTGTGGGCCTCTTTGGGTTCATCTTGTTTGGGACTCTGCATTTCCTGGGCTTGTATGTCTCTTTCCTTCGCCAAGTTAGGGAAGTTTTCAGTCATTATTTCTTCAAATAGGTTTTCAATTTGTTGCTTTCCTTTCCTTCTGGTACCCATGTGATGTGAATATTGGTACGCTTGATCTTGTCCCAGAGGCCCCTTAAACTATCCTCATTTTTTGAATTTTTTTTTCTTTTTTTGCTGTTCTGATTGGGTGTTTACTGCTACCATCTTCCAAATTATTGATTCTATTCTCTGCTTCATCTAATCTGTTGATTCACTCTAATGTATCCTTTATTTCCATTATTGTATACTTTTTTTTTTGACTGGTTCTTTTTTATGTTTTCTATCTCCATTTTTATATTTCCTATCTCTATTGAAATTCTGACTGAAATCATTTAGCGCCCTTATAACCAGTGTTTTGGACTGCTCATCTGGTATTATATATTACTTGTCTCCATTTGTTTAGTTCTTTTTCGGAGCTTTGTTCTGGTCTTTCGTTTAGAACATGTTTCTTTGTCTCCCCATTTTTGCTGCCTCCCTGTGTTTGTTTCTATGTATTAAATAGAGCTGCTATGTCTCCCAGTTTTAGTGTCCTTATATAATAGGTGTTCTATAGGACCCGGCGGTGCAATACCCCTGGTCACCTGAGCTGGGTACTCCATATGTGTCCCTTGTGTGGGTTGTTTGCCCCGCTGTTGTAGTTGAGCCTTGAGTCTTTGCATATCAGTGGGAGGGATTGACCCTTGGGCTGATTGGTTGTGAGGACTGGCCGTGACTACAGTGGAGGAGCTGGGCTCTGGTGCCTGCCCAGCCTTCCCTTTAGGTGTATTGTCCTAGAGGGTTGTCGCCACAGGCCAAGTTCATCTGCAGCCTGTGCCCTGCCTGGGAGAGGTCAAGCCTTGAACCAAGGCCATATGCCACCAGTGCTGGGCTTGGGTCTGCTTCACAAGAGGTATAGGGCATACCGAAGCCCAATGCTGCTTATTTGGAATTTGTGAACCTTTGAGATATTTTAGGAAAGTCTGCAGCATGAGCCAAGACAGGCCATTTGTATGGAAAAGCCACTGAAAGGGGCTTGGGTGGGACTGCAAGTTGGGTGGGTTGGGTTCTTGGGGAATTACCAGGGCGGGGTTAACAGTGTTAGCCATGTTGATGGAAACTCACATGTGGCGGCTGCCTGTGTCTGCACAGAGCAAGGGGGAGGGCTTGACAAAGAAACGATGACTTCTACCAGCACTTTAGTCAGGTAGAAGTGGCCCCCTCCAGCCCATACCCATAAGCCAGACAATTCAGTTCCTCCCTGTATGTCCTTGGTGCCTTTCAAGCTTCCGCCCCAGCAGTGGAGCTCAGAGTGAGTGTCCATCAGCGAGTAAGTTTATGCGTGGGTCCTTTAATAGGAATACGTGGGACTCTAGCCGCCCTCATCTCACTCAGCCACATCTCTGCTGGTTTTCACAGCTAGACGTTGTGGGGACTCCTCTTCCCAGCACTGGAACCCTGGTCTGGGGAGCCTGTTGCTCCTCGGGCGGGGGATGCGGGGTGCCCTCCTCAGCTGAGATATCCCTCCCACTCTTTAACTGCCAGCCTGTTCCACATCTCTGCCCCTCCTCCCAGTCTTGAGGACATACAGCTTCTTCTGTATGTCCTTAGCTGTCGGACTTCTGTTCAGCTAGACTTCAGGTGATTCTCAGTGATGGTTCTGTAGTTTAGTTTTACTTTTGATACGGTTGTGGGAGGATGAAAACACCAGCGTTTACCTACTCTGCCATCTTGACCAGAAATCTAGTTACTTAATTTTTAAAAATATTTCATTTGGTAGAGAAGGTGATGAAATTAACACCAATAATTACCATGTGATTTAGGGGTTACTTGGGGGTTTTACTTTTTCATTTCAGTTGGTTTGCATTATAACTTCTTAAAAGAATTTAAAGGGCCGGCCGAGTGGCTCAGCTGATTAAGAGCTTGCTTGGGAGCACCAGCTCTGAGCAGCAGGGCTGCGGTTCGGATCCCACATTGAGGGCCAGTGACGCTTGCCCTGTACAGCTAAGATGATGAACAACTGCTCGACCTGGAGCTGGGCTGCTGTGAGTCGCCGGCAACGGCATAGGCTGCAGCAGGGCTGCAGTGGGCTGCCATGAGCTACGTGAGTGGCTGGCAGCCAGCGTGAGCGGCTGGTAGCTGGTGAGCTACCGGGAGCTGCTGTGAGCGGCCGACCAACGATCAGCGACCGATTGCCTCATCCGGGAAGAGCACAATGATCATACCAGCATGGGCCAGTGAAGCGACGTCCTCCACAACTAGACTGAAAAACAAAAACAGCAATTTGTCTACCTGTCTGTTCCCCTTCCCCAATTCCCCAACGCTGTTACCTGCCCCCCAATTCCCCAATAAAATCTTTAAAAAAAAAAAAGAAAAAGAAAAAAAAGAATTTGAAGTAAGTTATATAAGGTAGAAATAAAATAAGACATTTTTAAATAAAAAAATAATCATTAAAAAGTAGAAAGGCAAATCTGCCAACTCTGAAAGCCATTGTTATTGCTGTGATGGTGCATTGAGGTCATGCTGGGCTCCTGGTCAGATGAGGTGGAGCTGGAGGCAGGCCTGCCTTGTTCGTTCTACCTAGTGCAGGGGTCGGCAAACTGCAGCTCACGAGCCACATATGGCTCTTTGAGTACGTACATGTGGCTCTGAAGTAAAATTGAAAATGAAAATAAAACTATCATAGTTTCATTTATAAAATTTTTAAAGGATATTATTCACATAATGGTGATTTCATTTATTTTATGGCTCTCGAATAATTTTTAAATTGTTGTGAGGGACAGGATTGGCTCTTCTGTCTTAAAAGTTTGCCAACCCCTGACCTAGTGATTTTATTTGAATAACTTTTCCAGTTCTCTCTCCCCACCCTCACCCACCCCCACCCCCCCGGTATATACAGTATTTTCATTAAATATACCTATAAGTCTTCTATTTCCATTTCAAATCCTGTATCATATTTAATCATCCAATAATTTTGTAATCTAAACCATTTTTTTCTGCATGGCTTTGGTAAAATAAGACCAAAAAACTTCAGGTTTTTAACATTTGTATCTATATTTTAGGGCTGACAGACTTGACAGTTGAAGATAACATCTCATTGAAGGTGATGCCTATTTTACCTGCCCTTAACTGTGCCCTTCTAGAAGCGAAGAAATCATTTACTGAAGAAGGAATCTGTCCAAACATATTAGTAAAGCGTAGTTTCCAGGAATTTTACAAGATGGATAGAAATCCTTCATTTACTGCTGCTTCTCAGGATGGAATGAAAGAGACTGCATTCTTTGGCAAACTGTCCAGTGATTTTGACTTGGTTCCTGCAGCTGAAAAGTGCCCTGTACAATCTTTAACTCAGTTGAAGTCTTACTTTTCAGACCCTAATGGGTACAGTTTGGAAGTATCTACTGCATTAGATATACTGGCAGAGCGTCCACAGTCTCCTTGTATTTCAGATGGAATTTGTGATGCTGGATTTTCCTTAGTTATGACTCCAGATCCTGAATTTCTTGACTCAGAGGCAGAAGTAAGAAAAGAAACCAAAACAGAAAAGAATTCTGAAAAAATGTTTAAAGCAAGAAAGAGAACTGTGGTTCCTTTAAACCCGGCATCAAATGTGAGAGTTCAGCCGAAGAGAAAGGCAAGCATGCTGCCTGTGGTGCCGAGTAAAAGGGTGAACTTGTGCAATCCTGTCCCCAAAACAACTCCTGTTGGAGTAGACAAGGGTTCAGCCTCTCAGGCCACCCTCAAATTAGTTAAAGGACAATTTCCACAGAAAAGAAAAAGAGGTAAGCACGATTCATGTAAATTATTAGATAAGGAGTTAGTGATAACTATTGCATTCTAACACTGTTCCTGTCTGATCATTCTGGGCGGCATCTTGGCAGTATGTTAGACGTTTGTTAACATTTCTCTCCAGGTTATTTGTCTTTGTGTGTAAGTTTGAGAAGTACTGATGCTGATAACATGTTAAAATCAAGAAACAGGAAAAACAGTAAGATATCGCAAAAGCCCACCCACCCAAAGCTTATTTTTCACTTTACAGTTGCTCACACTGTCAGTTATTTATGTACCGTTCTAGAAAGATGGTTATCCAGCTTCTGAGCCATACTCAGACAAATAAGACTGAAGGAAAAGGATCTTCTAAAATTAGGTATACCAATAACTGCAAAAACTGATGACCAATAGTCTGAACATGTATACAGAAGGGGAAAAATGCATGGAGCCTCCTAAACTAAAATAATCTGGGACAGAATTTCTAATGCTTTGTATGTGTCAGAGTTTTTTAAATAGTCACCTGGATTCTGCTGTAGGCCTATTGAAACAGAATGTCCAATGGCCTGGGGGCATACATATTGAAACATTTCCTCAAGTAGTTTTGTCGCCCCCTGAAAATTGAATAAGAGTCAGAATCTAGAGCCATTTAGTGTCTAATCAAATGCACTTTAGCAAACACAGAACAATGAACAACACGATTCTGACTTAGAGTCATCTCAGATTATGAGTAGTGTGTTTTGTTGAAAAGTAGGGAACTATATGCTCTATGACCCCTTAGAGTAGGGATCAGTAAACTGTGTCCATAGGGTCCCTGAAGCTCTTACCTGTTATCTCTGGGTAATTCACACTGCAGGCAGAGGTGAGTGCTTCTGGCTGGGAACATACGACCTTCGACACTGAAAATATGTACTGTCTGGCCCTTCACAAAAAGGTTTGCCAACCCTGTCTGTCATATTTTGATTCTAGAAATTTTGGTGCCTCAAGGGGAAATATTAGGGGTATGCGGCAGAGCTCCAGAATTCTAGATGATTAAGGTTTTATCCTGCGGTTCAACAAATATTATTCCTGGCCTGTTATAGTTTGAGAAATGGTGTGTGTGTTTATTTAAGAGCATGGGGGAAAGAATGGCAATAGAAGGCAGTGATTCAAACTGTACAGCTACTTAAGAATAAATTCCAGCCCAACCAGATTGTTTCTACTCTGTATGAACCAGTTTAAGATATTGAGTAAATTATATGTGATTCAACATATATGTTGTCAGTATTTCTCAATATTTTAAATTTCATCTACTATAAGAAATATGTTTTATGTTATAGTCCAGTACACACAAACTCATATGTGACCGAAACAAAAATTTCTAAAAAGATTTACCCTAATTGTGTAATAACAATCTGATATTTTCTATTCTATTCTGTTTCATTCTTTTAAGAAAGAATTCTGGTCGCAACCCTTTAAGTTTATTTTACAATCCACCAGTGGATTATGGCATGCAGCTTGAGAAACATGGCACAGCATAGAGATAAGCAGGAGAGTCCTTGCCAGACCACCTGTTGTCTCATGGTTCTGCTTTTCCTTCCAGGACCTGGGTTGTGAGAGATCTTCCCTTCCTGCCTGTGCAGATGCTAAAGTATTCCCCTAGGTCTTGGTCATCTCATTTTCTTTCTCTACTTAATTTAGTTTTAACTGTTTTCCTGCTTGATTTATAGTCTTAATTTGCTTATATTCCTTTCTTTCTGCTAAAAATTTTAGACAGAGTAACAACTGGAATGTGAAGTCTTATTCCTTAAAGAAGCCAATATGCTGCTTTAGTACTTGCAATAGTTTAGGAAGGAGGAAAATGTACAACATTAAGAGATTCTAAAGCTCTTCTTAAACCACTCCTTTCTCTAACTCCCAAAAGAATGAAATGAAATTGGCCTCTTTTCTGCATTTCACTAATAGTCATCACAATTTCTTGAATTGTTCAGTATATGTTTCCTGTTCTCAATTAGAAATAGTGTTTTCTGTATAATTTAAAAATATTTGCCAACATTCATGTGTGATTATTCTGTATGATACCTTTGGGCTAAATTTTTTGGTGGGAACAGCTGAACTTATATAAAGTCAATGGGGAAAAAAGTTTTTAAGGGGAACACTTATTAGTATTTTTCTTAACTCTCAAAAGATTGAAACACTTTCTATTGTGTTACATAAGCAGGTAGTTGGTCACTAGTTTTGTTTTCCCCAGTACCTTTCACTATTTCCTTCCATGTGAGAAGCAAAGCTGAGCATTTTGTAAGAGAGATCAGCAATTATAATAGATTGGTAGGAAATTAAATCAGGTGAAGACTTGTGTACCTTTGTGTACACAAGGTATCTTGTGTGCAGTGTACCTTTTTCTTATCTTAAAAGATGATTCTTTGGATGGTATTAAGACTTTGATATTTAGTGATAGTAAAGTGAAATAACATAAGGTGGCTCTTTGTGACTAGACAAGCACTTCTCTGCAATGTGATTACAGCTTAACACCACCAACTTACAGGGACTCTGCAGCCTTTGTGTACTTTGAATTATCCGTCTCCCAGTGCTGTGAACTAGCATGTTCAGCCTGTCTGCCCCATCAGTCAGGGAAGATTATTGAGATTTTTTTAAAAAAAACTTAAGTCATACCTTGTTTTTAAAAGTTATTACTCAGATATTTTTCTTTTTCACCTGGTAGGATGTAGACCTACACTTAGCAAGTTTGTATTTTTATATTTATATGAGAACTTCTAACTCTTGCTTTGTTAAAAAAAATAGTTTAATGAAATACTCCAAATTTTACATTTCATTCCTCATTACTAAACTTACCCCCTACCAAAAAAATAAACGAATAAAAGGAAAAGCTATGCTGATAAATATCTGAGCCCCATAGCCCTTAAAAAACGGTGTCTTTTCTACAATAAGGTGCTGAAATGCTGACCACACAGTTTATACAGACAACCAAATTGGATAGGAAAAACCAAGAAGCTCCTATTTCTAAAGATGTTCCAGTTGCCACGAGTGCTGAAAGGGCAAGAAAACAAAAGAGATCGGCCGTCAAAACTGTTCCAAGAGCTAAGCCACCTGTGAAGAAGTCACCACGAAAACGGAGGGTGTATGTAGCGAAAGGCAATAAGAATCCCAGAATCAGAAAGCCGCCACAACCTGGTAAGAAACACTCTTCCTGTAAATTTTAACACCACAATCCAGAAAATAAAGATTGTAACACTAACAGGACAAAGTATCTTGGTTTCCTACTGTAAATAAATTAGGAAAGTACAGATTCAAATATCACAAAATAGACCTGCTTTTTAGTTTGCTTAAAACATGAACATGAACTGTCTACCAAGGTTATAAATGGCCTCTTTTATGACTAAATGCACAAGCAAGTAGTACTATCTATAAGTATTTTTGGGGACTGTGATCAGTTATAAAAAGTAAGGTTAAGTTTATTTGTCCAGAGGGAACCGTAAAAGGATTGTTCACAATTTTAATTCAGAATCCTATATTTGGTTTTGAAAGGCATTAAATTAACTTTAAAAGCAGTTTTGGGCCGGCCGAGTGGCGCGATGGTTAAGAACTCGCTTGGGATGCCAGAGGGCCCCGGTTCAGATCCCACATATGAGGGCCGGTGACACTGCCCTCCACAGCTAAGATGCTGAACAGCGGCTTGACCTGGAGCTGGGTTGCCGTGGGTCGCCGGCGACGGGGTAGGCTGCAGCCCCTGTGGTAGTGGGTTGCCATGGGCT